ATTATTTTATTTCCCTTTATTGACTGCCTTAGTTTTTCATTTCCTTAGACAGTCCTACCTGACCACAAGTGCAAATATGACATTAAATCTATGCCAAATTAAAGTAAGTGCTCAAAGACATAATTAATTTGCTAGTCCTATAAAATTATTGCAGATCCCTTGGATTTAGTACAAACATGTTAATGTAACAGCATTATTGCTTAATAATTATTTTGGATATATCAACAAAGTTGAAATGGTAAACTGGCCACCATAATGATTACAAAAGCTGATGTTTCGAGCGTTAGCCCTTCGTCAGAGCGAATGACAAAGGGCTAATGCTCGAAACATCAGCTTTTGTAATCGTTATGGTGGCCAATTTACCATTTCAACTTTGTTGATAAAAATTATATCCAAATTATTTCGTTACTCCCACTGACGCAGCCCCAAACAGTTTCTTTCGAAACTATCAGCCTTTAAGCATTATGGCTTATTGCATGACTATATAAGAGTACGTTATAAATAACCTAGGTTAAAAAAAAATCAACCTAGGTTAAATCAAAATTAACCTGAAATCAAATTTGACTTCTAACATCTACATTGTCACCAGCCACTTGGCTAGTAAGTTGAAAAGTTAGTGTAAAGCCCTGATCAATTTCTAGCTCCTTGGATGTACTCTCTGTTTTTTGGGCTTAAAAATGCGATCATGTATGATTACAGTACAGTGTGCAGTGCCGTGCTTTTACCTCAGTGAGAATGTCAGCAGGAATTCCAGTCGACATTAGTATACCACAGAGTAACCTCAACAATCCTAAAAATGGACAATAATAAAACAATGGAGTTCACCGGCATAAAAATTAATTAATATGCTTTGGGCTTGGTTGGTATCATTTTAGCCCAAGCTGTTAGGCAAGAGTTAAAATGAGCTATAAAAAAATACATTTTAGCCTGCCATTTTATGTGCAGTAAGGTCAAGTATGCCAAGATTCACTCCAGTGGCCACTGGAGCATAATCTGGTTTCATGGGTTTACTCATACATGTAAAATGTAGCATTGCCATGTTCCTAAATTGTTATCATTTTGAACTAAAATAAATTCATGAGCAAAGATTGAAATGAATGGATTTTACAAACAAGTTATAGAGACACTGCCTCTTAAATGCAACAGCTCAGACAAAACTGACAGTAAGGATTTTACGTAATCACAGAAGAATATTCTGGGGGCAATCCTTGTGTCATCATTGCTGTTTTTCATCCATGTTACAAAACTTGTTTTTAAATCATTCAAATCCTTGTGCAACTGTTACCGACAGCTGTGATTGCTGCAATTTTGTTGTCTTAATGGTCTTTCAATTTGCAAAATACAATTATAAACATTTTACTAATTGATGGTCACTTCAAGCAAACAATACAGTAGCACTCACCACATTGGTTCATTATTTTCTGACAAGTGGCTGTGGCCTGTTGAGGGTTGTCCGGAGAAACTAACACTCTGACGAGCTGAAGAAGGAAAAGAAAATCCCACAAGCTGATATACAATATTTGGATTATTTCAATTAGGTCACATGCTATTGAGAACAGTTATTGAACAACAACAACTGTTTTACGCTAGGGAAGTTTAAGAACACTTTACCAGCCATTTCCTATTGAAACACTTATTCATGATGTACAGATGTCACTGCACTAGATCCATGTCATAACCATGGACCAAATATTTTCCCATCCAGCCCTCCCTCTCAGTCAATAAGTACAAACTTTTGTGCAAGCAACTTTTTACATTTAACCTCCTCTTGCTCTATTTTACCTGTAACATAAGCTTGATATTTGACACTTTCTGTGTTGACCATGAACTGTCTTGATTTTCTGAAAAAAACTAAGTTGTCGTTAATGACCACATACAAGGCTACATGTGGTGGTTCGAAATTACAAAATAATTTATCAAAACCGTTCTGTTCATTCAAGAACATTAAATAGAACTTTTAGTACAATACTAAATATTGCCCCCACCATGTGGATTTTTCCCTCTATGTTCTCCAGTTTTCATCCCTCCACAAAAACCCTCATTTCAATGTGACCTCACCTGGAAAGCATTAGGCCCACCCTTCAGAAAAGCCAATAGCAGAATCTCTTTCTTATTGTAATTAGTTCATTTTTTTCAATTTGAAATGCCTTCCTCTGCTTTCTTTTAACTAAAATTTTATTTGTTATTTCATTTTTAAAAGATTTGCATGGCTTATACAATTGTTCTCCCCTGATACCAGCTATTTAAAATGCCCCCAAAAAAGTCTTTGTAGAGGCTATGTTAGGTATAATTATTACAAAAGAAAAAGAAACTGACCAGGAGTGGCTGCTGGAGAAACTTGCTCCAACTCAAAGAATGCAGTAAGTCTCTGAACATAACTGTTGGTAACAAAAACAAAAACAAAAAAACATTGAACAGTTTGAAGAAAATTCATTGAATTGCATCTTTATAACTTGTTGTTGCTGAGAAAGATTAGAAAGCCGACAAAATGTCCCCACACAAAGAGCAACACAAAACAGAATTTCAAACAATCTGTTGCAAGCACCAGAACAAGATAAAATCACACAAAAAATAACCTCTTTAACCCTAAGAGTATCTGGCTTCTAATTTTTCCCCACGGTACCACCCTTGAGTCACCTTTGAAGCCCATGAGAATAAATAAAATGATCACTACTTTGAAGAGTTTCTGATTGTCAAACAAGTTCTCATTGTCAATGTTATAGGAAATGTATACGGAACTGTGTGGAGAAAATGAATAACAATCTTAGGGTGAGAGGATTTTAAGACAGTCACTATTAACAACATTCTCCACCATCAAAACAAACAACAACAGCTTCAAAAGAGTAACAATGAAAGCAACATATCAAACAATTTCAAAAAGAAAACTCAATTTCATACCTTCCTTCTCTAAAGAAATTTTGGTTTGAAACATTCAATTTTAATAAATTTTGCATCAGTAGCAGGCAGTCTTCCACAACAATTCCTGTTCGAGAGTAATTGGAAAACATAGCATTTCAAGCAACTGACATTTTGTGAAATTACACTAAATAATAATGCATGTACCCAAACTCTGAAAAATTTAGCCGACCAATCATGTATAATTTACAACAATTCACCCATAGAGATTTGTTGTGATAAGTTCAAAATTAAGTAACAAATGTCAACAGCTACCAGAACATTTATCGTAACGATATTATGTGCTAATAATATACTGACATGGGACATGTACATGCATGTGAATGAGACAGCATGCAAATACAGCATTACATAAGACCACAAACAGCTCAGAAGTACTTGATAGTACAGATTAAGTAATCACAGAAGAATATTCTGGGGGCAATCAATTTGTCATCATAGCTGTTTTGCAACACATACATTGTGAATTTAAAAATTAATGGATTATCAAAGAGCACTGTGCACATTCAGTGTATTTGTACAATGAGAATTTTAAACAGAATACTGAAATCTGCTCTTACAAATGGTGTCAGTGTCATTTCAAGCAGTCCAATTGAATACTTTTGTCACGAATAGATATTTACAGTTTGATGCATAGAATGATATAAAAACAAAACAAAGCAAAACAAAACAAAAGTACAGCTTTTTCTGCAAATATTCATATAGAGCTTTAGGTCTGAAGTTCCTAAATGATCACCACCACACTCATTAACAATCCATTCTCCATGTTAAAATTATCCTGTCTGTAGTTGAACTAGATGCTGCACATAAAACTACTATTACATAGAGAGTTGTGCTGGGAAATTCTTGGAAGTAAGCACTGTCCATAAAGAACTGCAGTGGCCTGAATATTATTTTTGTTGTAACAGGCCTTCTGATAGGGTGTGATAAAAAAAATGTAAACTGTGCAATTTTTTCAACAAATTGTGCTATAAAAATCAGATCATCTGATAGGGTGTGGGAAAAAATGGAAAATTATGAGTATAATTATTTTCATCAATATTATGCAGAAGAAAGTGACAATTATGCGGAAAAGACGCCAGATTATGTGGAAATTTCTAAAACTAAAGTTGTTCCCTTGGCTTTTTCCAACGTATAAAATACATGTTGCAGGTAATTTTTTTTCTATTACCGTAAATTTAATTTTTCACTAGGTACAGTTTTTTCATTGTTTTGTTGTTGAGTTTGTCTGAAGCTTAGTAACTAGCCATTAAATCGGACAAGGAAAACTGGACACCGGAAGTCCGCTAATAGAAAAGTAGAACCCAGGCCCATCACATGAAGATGCATGGAATGCCGGTTTAAAATTGTTTACGAACGAAAGGTGTGTTTTCGTCACTGTTTTGGGTGAATAACTTCTTCAAAATGATCAATCTTTCCCCTAGTTTTGCTTCTGAGAATGACAAGAAGTTGCTTTCTCACTTATATGTAGAAATTTTCTAGTATTATAAGGAAAAATGCCCCAAGGATGCAGAGGATGCAGAAGTAGGCAAGTTATGCAGATCCACACCACCGCATCCTGTCAGATGCCCTGAAAAATAGGTGATTGTGTGACTGTTTATGCAAATTGTGTGATTTTTTTCTGAGCTATTTAAGCTTGTTTTATTAGGTTTTAAAGACAAAAAACATCTTTTTCACTCTTCAGAAGATGTGAAAGCTATCTCCTATGTCTTCTTCTGAACTTGTGCAGATACTTTGCACTTTGAACCGTTTTTAGCGTGTGTGCTTCAACCAGGATGTCATATTGGATGAGCAGCTAAGGTCTGGGTCAGTTACCCAAAAAAGTATTGATTTATCTTACACCTCGTGAAATATTTGCAGTTTTTTATGAATTATGCGAGTTTTTATGAATGGCGCTGTGCATTTGTGACGTCACGAAATTTTGACCCCCTAGAGCGATTAGGACAAACAAACAGGCTTCCCCAGTAAATGAATATGGGTGATGATGCGCCCATCTCTAGTTCAAACGCCTCTAAAGCTCGTATTTTAAATCAAAACAACTGTGTTCCTGGCTCAAAGTTCGAGCAAGACCAAGAGAACTATACAAACACACAATTAAAGCATTGGTTAAAGTGTAGAGGCTTGAAATTGAGCAGAGAATGAGCAGACCTCATTGCACGTGTTCGTGACTGCCTCAAGTCGAGAAAACATTATGTCGTTGATTCAAGTATAGATGATGGGAAATGGCTTCAGGTGAAGATACTAAAGGAAAGTAAAGTCGATCACGTGAAACTCAAGGATCTAACATTTCAATGTAAAAAGGGGATTGACAGGCCTACACGACTCCCCAGCGCATGTTTAGAATAGCCTATTCAAAGTTTGGCCCTCACGAGTATGTCTTTGAGCGATCGCCCTC